ATGCCTATCTGGAGTGCCACGTGAGGACCATTTCGATGACCATCTATCATCCATGTGGCACCGCCAAAATGGGACCCGCCTGGGATCCCGAGGCCGTGGTGGATCCCCGCCTGCGGGTCTACGGTGTTCGGGGACTTAGGGTGATTGATGCCAGCATTATGCCAACGATTAGTAGCGGTAATACCAATGCGCCGGTGATCATGATAGCGGAAAAGGGCGCGGATCTCATCAAGGAGGATTGGCTAACGAATCCCGAGTATAAAGTCAAGCGACAGACCCATATATCAAGAGATGCCCAGGCAGCTGGGAGCAGCATTCAAGGCATTATCGCCCTGCCCACCAGCAATATCACTCAAAGCGACAGCAGCAACATCGAGAGCAACTTCCTCAACAGCAGCAGTCACCTAAACATCAGCAATTTTAGCAACAGCAGCAACTTTAGCAGCATCGACAGCAGCAACTTCACACTCAACTATGCGGATAGTTAGTGACTAAAGATGGGTTATATAAACAGAAGAGCTCCAGTCAGCTCCAGATTTTGTGCTCAGGGCTCGGTTAGCTTTAAACACTCACAAAGTGTCCACAACGAGAAACAACACAAAATGTTTGCCATTGCTAAAGTAAATTGTTGAGAAGGTTGAATGAGAACTCAACTAAAGCCAGAATGTGATTCAAACCCTTAGGAACTCACAGAAAATTCTTCACTGAAACCAGAAGCTATCTAATATTCAACCATGAGTTTATCTTAATCATGGGATCCACCAAAAAAATATCTACTAAATTGCCTACAAAAAAGTACACAAGTTTTCTACAAACTACTAAAGTTCAGTTGTATAGAAAGGCATTTTGTAAGGCCCATAAAAATGATTACAAAATCCCACTATTGAACCAGAAGCTGTTGGCAACTATAACTTGTTGCTTCTACTTTATGGAACCATTAAAACAGCTCTTTATAAAAGGTTTACGTCTGAGACTAAAACTTTATACTTCAAGCTGTTGCTAGTTCAAATCTGTCTTTTATTAAGACAATGATTAAACAAAAAAGCGTTCTTCAATAAAAAATCTACACAATCAATGCGGAAGATGCAAAAAATGGTTCTTAAACTTCCAATCCAGAAAAGTCAAGGTACAATAAGGGACTTTACAAAGGAGAGGTTTCGCAACTCGTAATCCCCACTGAATCTCATCGCTTGACATCCTTAAAAACTCTACGCAACGATCCTTTGCAAGAGGGAATCCAGAAATCGAGTCATAGATTAAATGCTTACCCTCAAATATGCTGTATTCCTAGATATATTAAGTAATTGTTGTCCTCTTTCTTTTTTTTTGTTTAGGTATTATTTATGATAAGCTAGAGGTAGATAATTTAACATTGTTTGACTATTTTTAGGACACTCCCATAAACGCATTATTTAAATGACATTCTATTTAATAAATTAAATTTGCATAAAACATTAAAGGCGAAACGGTAGTTATTTGCTGACAGCCAAAAAGCAGGCAACGGAAATGAGGTAAGCAAATTGGTTTTGGTCGAAATAAAAAGCATGAGAAATGACTCATCGCGTGGTTAGGTGTATTTTGTAGGTAAAATTAATTCGAAGCATGGGTGTATTCATGGGGGTTTTGAGTTAACATCCCTCTCCTGCAGGACAAATTCTATGGAAAGCATTGTGTTGAAAAGTATGCTGCAAAAAATTTTGTTCTGAAGGTTTTCTAGGTTGGTTTTCCTCTCAATCAAATCCTAACTACGCCGGGGGTTCCCCTCTAAGCCAAAACCTAGCTACGCCACTGACTCAAGTACTTATTTTTTCGACGTATTTCGAATTTAATCAATAGATAGTATAGGAAAAGTTCTTTTAAGGCCACATACTATGTGCATTTTATTGTGCTCTAACAAAGTTTTAATCAATTTTTTATATATTTTAGGGTATACATTTTTTTATAATCTATAATATATAGTATGCATCACACACATTGAGTGACAACTGAATAAACCAACCAAATGGGAAAATATTCACGAATATTCAACTAAGTATAGGCGGGCATCTCTCGATTTATATAGCATAGCCTAACATTTGGGCGCGGCAGTAAAAAAGACCTAACAGCACGCAACATTCTTGTGTAGAAAATATGTATATTTAATTACCAGTAGACAAACCCAGTTTTTAACTTGTCGCAGCAACGCCCAACGAAAAGAGTACATACAAAATATAAAGCTATTAACTAGCCACTAATCGAAGTGTTATAAATCATATTTTTGACAACCACAAAACCACAACCTTGGTCAATAATTTTCTTGCGATCGGAAGCCGGAAATGGCCAACGGAACTTGGTCTAATCAACTCAAATTATAGTCACTTTGGATGTCTTTTTCCGGACTTACTATAGATAGAAGATGTGTTAAGTGGTCCCTGTCCCACTTTTGACGTTCTAATTGACAGGCAAAAAAAAAACGCATATTATAATCATATTAACCGAAGCTGAGCACAAAAACCAGATTTTATGGCTAATTAATGGAAATGTCCAAGACGCAGCGCACATTTACAGAAAACATGGTCAACAAATCACACGTTTTAATGGACGAGTGGTTCTGGCAAGTTCAAGGTCTAATTTGGGTATTTCATGTGGAGAGGTAGCTTTGCTTTTGAGGTGTGATCTTATCATAGGAAAGAAGCTTTTCAGAGAATCAAAGTTAATCTTTGGACTATCTTAAGCATCTTTGGGATTAAAATAAATTCGTTTTGAAATACAAAATAGCCTAAGGCATTGAGTCGTGGCTTTTATATTACGTATACGCCCTGTTAGCTTTTCATTTAGAAGCTAATGCTTTTTAGAAGCTTAATATAATTTAACTATATTTTTTGTAAACTTTTAAAAAATGTAATTTAATTTGACCTTTATTTTATATTAATTTTTAAAAAGGGAAGAAGACTTTTCCTTGTAGCTATATAATAAGTATACATAACGTATACGCCCTGTTTCCAAATGTAAGAAGAAAGTATAGTCAATTTCAATCATATCTGGTAAGATAACATTGATTTCTCAAAAAAGCAGTATCCACTAGTCGAATCCACTGCGACTGTCAAGTTCTGGCTCGTTTCGGTTAATTATTTCAGCCACGCCCCCCTAAAAATAAGAGGTATAGAGAACGGGGTAAACGAAATGGAGCCCCAATGTCTACGTGACCGATTGTAATTTCGCCACGAGATCAGTTCGACGGATTTGCCCTAGACATATGTGTCCACACGCATATGAATCTACGGTGATTTCTCGGCCAAAAACGCAATAAACCCAAGCGTATGCAAAATTGGCAAGAGAGTATGCGAAAAATTGAATGGGGCAAAGTGGGTCATTGGCCAGCGGAAGTATCTGCGGATCATCTGCAGAAAATAAAAGATAACTTCCGGATTGATGTGTTACCGTTCCAGTTAGAGGTCAGTCAACTTGTTGTGCTCTCCGTTAGACAAGCGATCGTGTCCGAGCAGTTGACCCAGACCCAATGAACTTGATCTCTGGCTCGGTGTTCGGTGTTCAGTGTTCGGTATTCAGCTATTTCCATACTTCACCACAAAAATCCAAGCAACCACTCACCTGTAAATAAAAAATAGAAGAAATACATTGATTAGGCTCGATAAGTCATGAAAAAACTAAGAATAACCCATTGTATGAGATTACAGCATAAATATTCATGGCAACAAGGCAGCATTCTTTTTATCTAGCGGAAGTATCTTGATTTTTTGTTGGGTTTCTTTGGGTTATTATCATTTCACGGCCCTGGTTCATGATTAGTGACCCATATACACGATGTGGAGTGCCCCCACAGAGCTGAACAGCCAGTTCTTTAAGTTGTTACAAAGGTGCCAATCAAGTTATAGTTCGATTCAAAAGCAAACCAAAAAATTCTTAGTCACTTTGGCCAACCTTGAGCTACGGAAATGTTGGGCTAGACATCGGTTTTTATGATTCAGTGGTAGGTTTTTTTCATTATTAAGAACTATCAAGTGGAGGTTCTTCGTTTATTGAGTCAGTGATTTGCATAACAGTAAGTGGTAGTTAGTGAAGGGAATTTATCGGAATTTAATCTATAAGTTGTAAAGAGTGGTATTTTCCATAAATATATTATATTATTTACTTCTATTGTTATTTATTTATAGCATTTCCGTTTGCTAATCTTGATCCATGAACCCCAGTTTCATCCTCACATTGCGCAGATCTTTTCGATCAACTTCCTGACTTCATCAACTGTTGTTTTTTCTGAACTGAGTGTTGGCGTCACGTATTCAATTGGCCATTGATCACAACAACCGCACCGTATAGTGGACTTCAGATCAAATAATTGCACACTTTAATGTGCCTTAGTGCTTGGCAAACAACAATGTTATCTGGCCAAACTCTGGCTGTGTATCTATTTGGACTGTATCTGTATCTATATGTGCGTTGGCGTATAGCAATTATGCGCATTATGATCGTATCAAAATGTTATTCAACTTCTGTTCTGCTTTGTCATGTCAATCATCGGCAAATCAATCGATTTGTTGCGGCTTAAGAGTCCACTTTTGTGGCAGGGGAAGTCTCAATAATTGATTCATATGCTCGGCTTGACTTCCTACAACAAAATGCGTCGGTTTCCTTTGTGACCCAATCATGGAAATCGCAATGAAATTTAATCAGATTTGAAGATAATAATTTATTGTGGATGTTTAAGCTACCGATAATGAGTCAGTGCTTAAGGTACCTCCTCATGCTGAACTTTCAATGAAAGATGTAAACTAATCAAGCTACCTCAAAGATACTTCCTACAACAAAATGCGTCGGTTTCCTTTGTAACCCAATCATGGAAATCACAATAAAATGTAATCAGATTTGAAGATAATAATTTATTATAGATGTTTAAGCCACCATTAATGAGTCAGTGCTGAAGGTACCTTTTCTGCAGAACTTTTAATGAAAGATGTAAACTAATCAAGCTACCTCAAAGATATATCCAAGCTTTATTTTCGGTTAAACTAACTAAATATTACATATTCAACTTCCATATGCTTCACACAAATAGCTTATAATCTTTGAAAGAATCTTCGGAATGCATTATATTTTACAAAGTTGTGGAACTTTCAGTACTTCGCGGCTTGGTTGGGGTCTTTGAAATCGCACCAGGTTCGGAGAACTGTCCCATTAGATGGATACCCTTTGGCTGGGAACCCGGACTTTGCCAGCAGTTCTTGTACCAGGCTGCCTGCTGGCGACTCAATCCAAATCCTGCGGCTATCCCCATCGAACATTGATGCAAACTGCGGGCCAGAAGACGAAGGAATCCACCAAAACGGTGGGATGGAATCGGTTCCGGCAGGACAAAGGAGTTCAATGTTTGAGGGGGTCGCCTTTGGGCCTTCAAGTACATAAGTGCGGTCTCATCCAATCCATCATCGCAGGCATCATCGGTATCGGCACCCGCATCATAGCCATTATCCGAGGGACTACAATTTCGATACTGCAAACTAGATGCACTGGGCTCCAGACCCAGGGTTTCCGTGGAATCGCTGCCTATCTGCAAACTTTTTAGATACTTCCCCGAACCACTCGGCTCGCTGTCGGAACTCTTTGAACTCGAATGTCTCCTGGTCTGGTATTCCACCTTGGTATTACTCCTTATCCTGGGCTTACGTTCCTTTACAGCCGGTCTGGACATTTCAAACCAAAGTTTCTGGTCTTCTTTATATTATTTTTAAATTTTGATTGCCCTGGAATGACCTACTCAAAATCAAGATAAACTTATAAAGTCAGCTTAAAGCTTTTTACAAAAAATAGCTCTTAAAAAGAATAGGAATATGTTTAACTAAAAACAAAATCCGAAATTAGTTGAAAAGATTTGTTTTGAAAACATTTAACTAAAAACGGATACTTTTGTGTAAAGTACCCTTCTAATTACCACAAAAAACTTAAGACCTGTAATAAATCTGCAGATAATGAACGTGCACGGAAGCTTGACGAAATAGGAAACACCCACTTCGTCTAAAATACTCATAAAACTTTTTTTGCCTGAAGGGAGCTAAGTGTAAAAGGCAAATGACTGAACGTTAATGAAATTGGAAAAAGGTTTGTTTCTGGTATTATTTTAGGAGAGAACAAACATTATTTAACAAAATCTGAAACCTTGAGTAGATGTTTACCACTAGATTTGGCTAGATTCATTCATACAACATCGAGCCTCTTAGTTTTCGCAAATATTTACTGGTATTTTTGTCTCTTTTATATGTAACAAAACGCTAGAAACAGGTTTTTGGTTTTAATCAGGAATCAAATCTGCTAACTTTTTTTTACCGGCAAATATTACCACATCTAAAACAGTGTCTATGCAAATTTATGGAAGTGAACGAATCGCTTTGTCATGATGATCGAACGCAACGCAATTAATCGCCAAAAGTAATGGCGAAAAAACCTATAAGACGCGTTTTACGATTAAGTTAAGAACATTTTATGGCCAGCACATTTTCATCACTTCTGCCAGTCATTCGGCAGATTTTCCAACTATCAGCTGTATCAACATGGCTTAAATCACATTTAATTACTAGGTATACAATAGATCCTTCGTTTAGATGATTTGGCATCCTGTTGGCACGATCGAATGCCATGGGCCAGCAGCCAATGAGTGTCAAAAACCCACTAAAGACATGGTCGAGGCCCCAAAATAAAAATTGTCAGTCAGTGCAAAGAGCAACTTGGCCAAAATCAGCAGTTGCCAACTACGAAAACTCGGTCAAAGACAACGAGTTTGCTTAAATTCTTGACTTTATGCGAACAGAAATAGTCGTTGCTGCTGTTTCTGCGCCAGCACAATACCTATCGATAGTAAGAGTCAAAGCTTTAATTGCCGTTAGCAGAATGCACTGAGCGAAATAGAGTATCAAGTCACTAAATGGGGTATTTAGTACCTACAAAGAAAGAAGAACATAAGGATATATTTTATATTAGCATGGTAAATTTATAAAAATTATCAATTTTCCCTGCTTGAAAAATCTCTGTAATCGAAAAAGAGAGAAAAAATCGAGATATAACCTCAAATTACTCTGGGTAAGACGAGACGGAAATATCCGAAACTCTCCAAAATAGAAAAAAAGAGCCAAAAGCAAGATGGCGAACATATCAAAGTAATAAACCCGGATCTAGATAGAATTAGTACCAAGTTTAATCAAAATGATCATCATATCTTATACATTTTTTCTGTATTTGTATTTAATTATAATTGAGTTATAAAGATAACAGATAACCATATGATCTTGAAACTCAAAATAAAGCTTGGTTTATAAAGACATAACTACATTATATCATATTGTATTACAATGAAATATCATGATTTCTTGATTATATACATATTTGTACTTATTTTCACCTCTTTGTATTTCTATTTTTGGTATATTCGATTTCCTAATAATTTTTCCCAATGTACATAATCGAATGGCAGCTCAACGAACTTGAGGTCCGCGAATCGCAGACGAATTGCGAAATTGGAAGCCGCGGTGCTTTTGCAGCCTTGACTCCAAAGTGTCCAGCGAGTTGGTTGGGCTTGAATGTCAACGGTTTGGTTCTCGATTGCCTGGGGCCCTCAGAAAGTTTACAAAAGGGTTCTTAACGTCGAGAACCTCATTTGGTATTCCAGTCAGGTACGGTTGAAACTGCAATTCCTTCGATGATGCGATATTTTACCATCCTGGTATCGCGGAATCTCTGGGCAATGTCCTTCGACTAACCATATTCCATCAGAACGATGGCATTTGGGGCGGAGACCACATCAAAAAACTATTAAGCTCTTTTTAATTTATTTTTGTTTTGTTTTGTTTTCTTTTAGTATGTCATACGGTTGCGGTCGGCTGGCCAAGTTTACGTTGCCAAGTTTCCAAGTCTCCACTCACGAGTGGGCCGGGTATCTTGGCATTTTTCACGGCGTCTTCCAAACTGCCAATCGACTCTCTTGGGTTCTCCCATTCTAAGCTCACGAATTCACATGCAAGCGGAAATAATTATAAAAAGTATTCGCTAAACAATGCGGCAAGCAAAAAAAAAATTAAAAAACAAACATAATATGCCTCCAAGTCCATTCACCATTTACCAGGGAGTATAATTAGAAACAACTGATGATCGTTTGCCGGCGATTATTTGGTAACAAATCAATAAATTAATAGATAAATAGTTTACATGAGTTCATCAGCTGCAGGGATTTATTACCATATATCATTGAGTAACACTCTGACGATCATAGAATCTCTTACATAATACATACCCAAAGTGGTAATATTGTAAGTATTCATTTCCAAGATGAGAAGTTCTTGGTAAATTCACTTTAGATAATAAACTTTTCCAAGTTCCGTCATGGAATAAAAAAAAAAATTTGTTCTACCTTATAAGTACTCTCTTTAAACTTGAGTTCTAGTAAGATCTTAAGTAAGTCTCCTTATGAATGAAATGATTTTCTAAAATGATCAATTATTATAATGAGATGCCATTGTTATATTTATTCTGTTGTTTCCCTGCTATAATCCTATAATACTGATTTTTTAATTACACCAGTTACAGTGTTTACCGCCACCTCTAAATTAACTTTGAAGTTTTTTTCCGTTCGAACCCATTGATATGATTATTAGATCAGACCCGTTATTAAGTGACTTCTGTATTCAGCACACAATTTAAGCTACCCCTTGTGCATTCCTACTGCATTTTGGATGGAATGTTTATGATCTTTGATCGATCGATTGATCGATGTACTACACAAATGATATTCACTCCGTGTTCTCTGGCTAAAATGACCCGAACTAGACTGATAGCTCGGCTTAAGAGCCGTAATTGTCAACGGTGCAGGGCCCCCTCCCTAGAACCCAGTTGCAGTTGCAGTTCAGTTCAGTTCAGTTCAGTTCCCCCAGCCTCGGGGCTTCAGTTCTGCTCTTAACTTAGCGGGCCAGTCGATCGCGACAGTCGAGTGAGTCCGGCTGCAAGGTGATGACGCTCCAATGACTTCGCCACGGAACCTCATCAGAATCATTCTCGGCCTCTGGCTTTCGGGACTGTCGCTGATTTTGGCCCAAAGATCCGATGGCAATGTTGTCTTCGATATGCTGGAGATGTACCGACGCGGTCAGAGCCAACTGGATCTGGAGAATCTAGACGAGGGTCAGCAGTTGGCGGCCAAATATGATTTTATAGTGGTTGGCGCTGGAACTGCGGGTTGTGCCCTTGCAGCCCGCCTCTCGGAGAATCCCAAGTGGCGCGTTCTGCTCCTAGAGGCCGGCGGTCCCGAGAACTATGCCATGGACATACCCATTGTGGCCCATCTCCTGCAACTGGGCGAGGTGAACTGGAAGTACAGGACAGAACCCTCCAATAGCTATTGTCTGGCCATGAACGACCATCGCTGCAATTGGCCGCGTGGCAAGGTGATGGGTGGTAGCTCGGTTCTTAACTACATGATGTACACCCGGGGCAATCGCAGGGACTACGATCGCTGGGCCAGTCTAGGCAATCCCGGCTGGAGTTACGAGGAGCTGTTGCCCTATTTTAGGAAATACGAGGGTAGCGCCGTTCCCGATGCCGAGGAGAACCTGGTGGGTCGCCAGGGACCGGTGAAGATCAGTTATTCGGAGACCAGGACGCCGATTGCCGATGCCTTTGTTCGGGCCACCCAGGATGCGGGCCTGCCGCGGGGGGATTACAATGGGGAGTCACAGATTCGGGTATCCTATCTGCAGGCCAATATCTACAATGAGACGCGTTGGAGCTCGAATCGGGCCTATCTTTACCCGATCAAGGGAAAGCGCAGGAATCTGCAAGTGAGGAAGAACGCCCTGGTCACCAAAGTGCTGATTGATCCGCAGACAAAGACAGCCCTTGGGGTGATGGTCCAGGTGGGTGGCAAATCTCTAAAGATTCTGGCCAGAAAGGAGGTCATCCTGTCGGCGGGAGCCATCAATACACCCCAACTGCTGATGCTCTCGGGCGTGGGACCCTCCAAACATCTCCGCGAGATGGGCATCAAGCCTCTGGCCGATCTTGCCGTGGGCTATAACCTCCAGGATCACATTGCGCCCGCGGTGAGCATGCTGTGCAATGTGAGTTCCCTGCAGATCAGTGATATGTTCAGTGTGGAGGCAATGGCGCAGTTCCTTAAGGGACGCGGGGTTCTCCGGATACCCGGAGGCGTGGAGGCCATATCCTTCTACGCCCTGGACGACTCCCGGAATCCCGATGGCTGGGCGGATATGGAGCTCTTCGTGGTCGGCGGTGGACTGCAAACGAACACAGCCCTTCGGCTGGCTTTGGGCATCCAGTCGGACATCTATGAGAATATGTTCGGGGAACTGGAACGCCAGAATGCCAATGGTTTCCTGATATTCCCCATGATCCTGCGAGCCAAAAGCAGGGGTCGCATCAAGCTGAAGAGTCGAAATCCCGAGGAGCATCCTCGGATCTATGCCAACTACTTTGCCAATCCCTATGACCTGAACATCACGGTTCGGGGCATTGAGCAGGCAGTGAGTCTATTGGATAAACCAGCCTTTAAGGCGATTGGAGCCAGGCTGTTCGAGAAACGCATCCCCAGTTGTGCGAAATACAAATGGAAGAGCAGCGCCTACTGGGCCTGCTATGCCCGCCACTTCACCTTCACCATCTATCATTATTCAGGAACCGCCAAGATGGGTCCTCGGGCGGATCCCTCGGCGGTGGTGGACGCCCGACTGCGGGTCCATGGAATCGAAAACCTTAGGGTGGTGGATGCCAGCATTATGCCCTACTTGATCTCGGGTCATCCGAATGGACCGGTGTACCTAATAGCGGAAAAGGCAGCCGATATGATCAAGGAGGATCATAACTTTGTGTAAGACAAACTTTTCTTAATGGGCAGCAAAATGTATTATAATCGTGGGTTGATCTTTAGTCCTTAACAACAATGTACATATATTCCTTTCTGTGAGTGATTTCTAGTGAATTAAAGATGCAAATACAGTACAAATTACGCAATTAAACTTTCTATTGGCAAGGGATAATTAAAAAAAAGTAATATTATTCATTCCTCAGTTATACAAGTTGTAAAACAAAATATACATCACAATTAAAAAAAGGAAATGACAAGTACATTAAAAACTAATTCTAAGATAGTCATTTCTCTTAATGATTGCTTTCATGATTAACAGATTGATTTAAAAACAAGGAAGAACGCTATAGTCGAGTACCTCGACTATCAGATACCCGTTACTCAGCTATATGGAGATATGCAAGCAGCAAAGTATACAGATTTAAGCGTTATGGGCGTTAGAGTGGGCGTGGCAAATTTTTTTTGGATCAATCGATAGGTATCGACGAGACCAATACATTTCAGTTAAAATTTTTTATCTAGCATGAAAATTGTGGGCGTCACAGGTTTTCGCGGTTTGTGGGCGTTAAAGTGGGCGTGGCAAACTTTTTTTTGGGTCAATCGATAGGTATTGATGAGAACAATACACTTCAGTTAAAATTTTTATTCTAGCATCAAAACTGTAGGAGCCACAGTTTTGGGCGGTTTGTGGGCGTTAGAGTGGGCGTGGCACTGTGCCGAAACAAACTTGCGCTGCGTAAGAAGCTCAGGAATCTTTACGCCAAATCTCAATAGCCTAGCTCCCATAGTTTCCGAG